GAGAGAGAGAGAGAGAGATTACAACATGATTTACAATGACTCCTATATACACTGCCAAACTTGATCACATATATGTAAGTGTGTGTTATATGTTCTTTTTATTTATACATGACAATAGACTCCATTTGAACAGATTTATACAAACATGAAGTATATCTTATTCTAATTAGGATCCCAGTCTTGTGGATGTACACAATGTTGAGATTCTAAATGGTGGATTGTGGAATTCTTTTATAATAACTGAGACTGTGTCAGGCTGTTTGCTATTAGTGGGTATCTGTGTGGGATTTACTGGATGAAATCAGAACACTAAATGGCATTGTATTCATCTAAATAATATAACACAACAAAAGTTTCCTTCAAATTTCCTGCCCAATGACTGTTTTATTTTCTGCTTGAGTTTGAAAGAAAACTGGTGTGAAAGTTGTGGATGTCCATTCTACTATTCTCTTCCTTTAAAAATTAGGAAATCATATATTTTATATTTACAATGATAAAATCTAGACCAATTAAAAATTATTTGGAAAATATGGACAACATTAAATTGGTAATGCTTCAAGTCTCACATTCCAGGGAAAACCTCAAAAAAGACAGTGTAATTCTTTTGGCAGTTTTTTTTTTTTACAAAACTGCAATCATTTATGTAGTTTTTGGAAACTTCTTTTCTCTGGAAATATGTCATGAGCATTATCCTCCATTGTTTTCAACACTTCTCTAAGACTACAATTTGCATTGGTAATATTACATGTGACTTTATGTCTTTTCACTTGTTACACCATGGCCATAATATGCCAGAATTTCAGTATTAGAGGAGATAATATAGCAATTACTAAAGTATAATTTAACTTGAAATAAGAGACTGTGTGCAATGTCATTTATTTTTATATTCTGATCCAGTTGTTGGAACTGTCCATTAAAATGTCAAATAATAATAATGCATTTTAATGGCTTTTAGTAAAATACTTCCAGCATCTCAACACTTGAAATTATTTTGATCAACACTTTGAGAGAGATGATTTTATCATCTTAATAATTTATCTTCCTCAGTCTAGATTCCCAAAAGTTTATACCAAGAATGAATCCTGTATTCTATCAAATGCTCTTGCACATAGAGCTAGATGGCAGTGAATCTTATTTTTGTAACTAATTCACTTCATATATTATCTTGACAATCTTTCAGGCATTAATGTGGAATTTCAAGCATTAATAAAAAATAAGTAATTTCACTTTATTGTGTAGTTGGATGTACCTTGTATGCTTTGCATATACAGTCATAAATTGGATTGAACAAAACTTTATTGGCTCTGACACATTTGGATAAAAATGATATTTTAATTTCATAAAATAATTTGTAACAATTTTCCACATTAAAGTGTTAGATAGCATATAAATTATTTGTTTCTTAAAATCCCAATAGTTATTCTGCATCCAGTGTCTATTTGGAAAGTCTCACATTGGAGCCCTGCTATATATCACAATAAAAATGGCATGGTTTGTGTTGGACAAATAAGTAAATGAAGTATTCTATGAAAGTAGGAAGCAAAGGGTTGTGTGACATAGCAGGAGCATCACCCTCTCAATAGAAGGTGACAAAGTTTCCTAGAAAAAAACAACATCTGAATTGAAAGAAGTCCTTCCAGTTTAAGAAAACAGCATGCACAAAGGCAAAAAGAAAAAAGATTTTAGTGTTTCCGGATGACTAAAAGATACTCAGTGTGGTCATCACATAGCTTTGGAAGTGTCACTAATGGTTTCAGAATTTCTACTTCAAAGGGACCAAAGAATGATTGCATGATTGGCTGGAGGTCTTTTAAGCTGTGTTGCATAGGCAGCACATAGTTTTTCCTCAGACTGTATTCCTCTGTTGGTGTGACTTTTATGAGGATACTGATGAGGAATATTCCAGGGCAAACCCACCCAGTAATTCCTTACTGCACACCAAAATGGGAAGAGAAATATCAGAAATGAGAGGAGGAATGAAAACTGAGGGAGACAAGATAGACTTTTTGTGAAGGATTAACTATATTTATGGAAACATGACTTTTTTGCTTCCTCTTAAAATCATCCTTAATTATGAAAAAATATACACCTTGCCTGAAAGCAGAGAAAAAGGAAACCACGTTTTCTTCATGCCTATTTTTCCAAGAACCCTACTCTAGAATACAAATGTTTAGTGAACTCTATTTAACTACTTTATTTAACTTTATTTGACTACCTTTCCTTCTTTTCTTCTTCTTCTCTTCCCTGTCCTCCCTCTCTTCTCCACAAATGTCTTACAATAAATTAAAACTACTATCTTAACTCTTTCCTTTGTGGAATAAGTCCCTGTGGCCAATGTGCCTAGACAGGAAAGGAAAGATAGGAAGAAGGGAATAGTTTTCAATATGCTGATACTAGTACTATCACGTTTTTAGCCTTATCAAAAATCACTGTCCAAGGGATACTCTCCAAAAGGAAGACAAATGTAAAGGGGGAAAAATGAAGATTAAATTATATTTCCCATCCTGTCTTGTCCCTGATAGGAAGACAGCCCTGCTGTCATCTGTGACCCCCGAAGTAGTAAGTCCTTCGTCTATATCTTCAAGTTCTTGGGATACAAACAAGCCAAAAAAATCTACAGTTATATGATACATATGATTCAAAATGAATATTTTCATTCTATCACCACAACTCAGAGAACACAAGCTACAACAGTGAAGAAAAAAAAGAATAATAGATGAAATCCTTTATATAATATGTTTACATTCGTGTTTAAGCATCTTAAAAGTAAGTATGAAATAATTGGAACACAACTAAGTTTCTAATTATATAGTTTAAAATTATAAGTAGACAGAACTTCAGAAAATATGAGTTGGGAGGAAAAAGGTAGAGAAGGCCAAAACTTTGGCCAAATTATATTGCTATAGGTGTGCATATCCAAATATCAACAAATCTCATCATTATGTATGACTATAATGCACCAATAAAAAATGTGAAAAAAGAAAAAATGTTAATTTGTGAAGCATAACTTGAAAGGACACAAAATTCAGAGAAGACAACAAAAGGCCAAAATTAAGGTAACTGAAGTTCCAGAAGTGTTTACTGATTTTGAGAGGAAAGCCAAATGCTAACAATTCCAGGTGTGTGTTTGCTAGAAGCAAATAAGATGGTAAGGGTTCTCAGGCCATTATTCCTGATTACACTAATCCTCATAATTGTGAAATTCCTTCCTAATGTGAAAAATTAAGGATGCTATGATCCAGCCTTCAGAGCTTTCTGTCATAACACTTAAGGTCAGAAATAAAACAAACTGTCTTGATTCCTATGTAAGTGTAACACATTTTTCTAATAGTTTTCTGTTGCATAAAATCAGTATAGGAAACTGTGACATATAGTCTGGTCTGGTGGTTAAGAGGGCTGACTCTAGAATCATGACTAAAATACTCAATTCTAGTTTGATAATTTATTATATCATGAACTTGTGAAAGTTACTGCAATTTTTGTGTCTTTGTTTGCTCCACATAAAATAGGAGTTTAAAGTGATATTTGTATTACAGAGTTGCCCTGAAGTTTAAATCAGTTAACACATCCAGTGAGTTACATTAATCTAATATACTTAGAGCAAACTCAATATAAAATAGCCAGTATTAGTTTAGTCATTTACAAAAGCTTCATGGCCCAAAATAAAAAAAAATAGGAAGATCCATGGATGCATTACAAAGCATCAAATATAATAAATGAAATAATAGATATATTAATATTATTTTGTGAAATGATAGGAATATGCCTAGAAATCATAAAATATACACCTAAAAGGCAAGTGGTAGAGAAAAAGGAACAGAGAATTTAGATTGACTGGAAATATATACAAGTAAGGAGGAAAGGTAATGTTTGGTACTTAAATTGAAGAACGGTGAATTGCAGGCCCTAGAAAATCTGTGCATAGTACAACACACCTGTAATGATGCAGTGATGCACACCTGTAATCCCAGCAGCTCAGGAGGCTGAGGCAGAAAAGTCAGAAGTTCAAGGCCAGCCTCAGCAATTAGCAAGTTCCTGTCCAATCAATCAATCAATCAATACAAAGTGCTGGGCATTTTGCTCAGTGGTTGAGTGCCCCTGGGTTCAATCTCTGGTATGTGCACCCCACGAAAAGGAAAACAAAATCTCCGAATAATGACAGCACAGATCCCTTTGTCCCAGCTAGTTGTTAGAAACCAAACTCCAATGAATCTCAGAATCTTAATTGATTACATGTCCCACAGATCAGGAAATATTCATTTTCATCAATGACATTTCCCAACTTCAAACCACATTTTTTAAAAAATCAACTTTTCCTTCTAAGACCAACAAGGAGATTTTTAAATTGTAGTTTATTACAGTTAGAGATAAAGAACAATATATTTATTTTTGTTATATTTTATTATATTGTATTCTCACAGAGTTTTAGATGACATGTTGAAGCTGTCTATTGTACTTGCCACCTAATAGATGTTATCTAATTTAATTCTCACAAAAAATACCGAATAATTAATAACATCCTCCATTTTCCAGGCTGAAGTTAGTAGCTGAGCTAGTTGAAACTCAAAAAAGTTAGGTAACTTACAATGGATCATACTGAAGATAAGTAGCATGGCACTAAATCTACATGGTACTTTAATTTTGAATGAGCTTTATTAGAATAGTTTTATTTCAAAACATTCATTAATAAAGAGATTTTAAGGTATAAAAATTTGAATGCAATTTGTCTTAAATTTATACATAATAAAAGGCCTGGCACTTCTCAGCACAATTCCAAGTCTCCATTGCTATTTGAAGCTATGTAGTATTACCTATCTTTCAGTGTCTCTTTCATCATTAGTAAAATTAATATACTATCCCTGCTGTTACTGATTCCAGGACATGTTCTAAAAAGTCAAAATAAATAAATAATGAAAGTGAAATGATTAGATATAATACATCAAAAGTTCAGATTTCCCTGAGTCACCTCCTGATATGAACTCTGTAGATGACAAGGACACATGAAGATGGGGAATTATACTGCAGTGACTGAATTCCTTCTGGTGGGGCTTTCTCAATACCCAGAACTACAGCATTTTCTCTTTGTACTCTGCCTCATCATGTACAAGATTATCCTACTAGGAAACAGTCTCCTCATTATCATCACCATCCTGGATCCTCGCCTCCATACTCCTATGTACTTCTTTCTTGGAAATCTTTCATTCTTAGACATCTGTTACACATCATCATCCATTCCCTCAGTGCTTATTATATTTATGTCAGAGAGAATATCCATCTCCTTTCTTAGCTGTACTCTACAGATGTTTTTCACCCTTGGCTTGGGCTCCACAGAATGTGTCCTTCTGGCTGTGATGGCCTATGACAGGTATGTAGCCATCTGCAACCCACTGAGGTACCCCATCATCATGAACAAGGTGTTATATGTGCACTTGGCTG